GAAACCTGTTGATGTGAGCCTTTGTAGTAGAATTGGTGTTACATCAAGTAATACAGATTTCTGTGTAGGTTCAACACGCTGTGTGAATGAGAGACTGAAGAATCATGTAACTCCACGAGATCTCGGACTTGTTGCAAGACATATCGGGATGGGATTTGAGCACGTCGGGATTGAACTTGGGCTCAGCGTTGTGGCTATCCAACAGGGCAGAGTTGCACACCCATCTTCAATGTATATGCAGATCTTGATTATGCTCACTAAATGGAAGCAGTGGAATGGCAGTTCGGCCACCTATCTGGACCTGGTCAAAGCACTATGGACATGTAAAGAGAGATGCACGATCGAATGGGAGGACATTCTCAACATCCTGCAGTGGCGGCCCTCCTTGTCAGTGTAATTGCACCTCGGTCGGAGAAATATTACAAGAAATGAAACTTTGTTTTTATCATTTCGAACATGACTATCGTCATGCCTTTTAACCTTCTTCAGAGATATTGTAATCTCACCTCTACTTTACAGCGATCAGTAAACAGGGGGCATATCATCAGTCATCATGTTTGGGAAATAAATATATTTATCAAATCACAGTTTCTTTGTGTTTTCTGCATTTGCAAGTTTACCCTAAGAACACGTGGAGTCAGATTGTACCAATGGCGGCTCCTACACGTGGAGTCAGATTGTACCAATGGCGACTCCTACCGGTTGGGCAGGACATGCGTGCACTTTCACAAGACGTGGTGTCATCAGTGATTATCAGTTATCCATTCCTATAGTTTTCCCCCCTATTTTGCCTTTTACGCCCAATGGAATGTGTTTCGGTAGATAATCAAGACTGGTTATTCTCTGGCGTTGTATATTTATTAAGTTTAGAATGCTACGGATTGGGGCTTACATGGGAAATATCTCCCGGAAATAATGAAAGTTCATAGTGATGCTTTTAATAAAGTCAGAATCGTAAAATGGAGTCGGCTTACAACAGCGATTTCTCGTGATTATGCAAAGAGTTTTGTCGCTCTTATCCATACGAACATCTCTGACGAATTCAAATACCTCCACCTCACAGTGATAATGATAAATTACTCAGAAATTCACAAACTTTCTAAATTGAATTGAATAAAAAACTAATTATTCAAGTCAGTAATCAGAACATATTCGTAATTCGTAATTCGATCCCAGTGCTATACAACCTTCATATTGTACATCGTTTCAAATATTCAAACCGTCCCTCTTTTTATATCACTAGAAATAGCATAAGTAAGCATAAACGTTTTCTCTCCGTTTCACACAACCTGAACCATTGGTTACAGGTACAATGGTTGTGGTGATCAAAAGATCAAAGTTTCATGTACATGAGATAAAGAACAAATTTGCTTCAAGGTATGATTTAAAACAGGAAAATACTATTTCCATTTTGGAAAATGAGTTCAACACAAAACACAACATTTAAAGCCGTTTAAAAATCAGTGCACTTCATTTCATTATACCTTTCGTCATTATTACGTACATTTGCCACATTCAGAAAACAAAGTCATTTTAGCTCAGTACGAACAGCTACAGGTGATGCTTCTATTGACAATACGCCTGTAAGCATTTTACCCACAGCATCCAGGTCTCGTCAGGATCACTTCCGTATACGTACTTTTCAAATGCTAACATAATATCTGATAATAATATAATATAGGGAGTTGCCTCCCTTTGACCAGCTAACGTAAACGTGGTATGCATTATTCAACCTTTTCTATCCCTGACATTGTCTACAACTGACTTTGTTGACTTGATGCAAGACAGGATAATGTTTGTAACGGCGGTGGCGGTGCGGCTTGTGATAATATTTAATTGAAATGAAATCTTGATAATTTGAGATCGGCAAGGGACAATCACCATGTTTCGTCAATGTCGGGTGTGAGTGGGGCTGAATCAAATTTCCTTTCTAATTAATTCTCCAGAGTGTGTGAGTGAGTGAGTTAGGTTCAACGCCGCTTTTAACAGTATTCCAGTTATATCACGGCGTGACAGTTTAATGTGGGAGGAAGCCCGAAGTGATGCAGGTCTCAGACGTTTACCACTTCCGTGAAACCCAAGAGCATGGGTATGGTGCCCAAGGGACGCAACTCTGCACAGCAAACGGCGGCGCCTGAGACGACTGGGCCACTCGTACCCCGAAAATATTCAGACCTGACTTCACAAACAATATTCAGTATACGTTTGCCGAGCATAAATAAGCAGGCATTTTTTTTCTTCCCTTATTTGATTCATTCTCTGTAGAGGTGAGGCAAGGCAAAATGAGCTTTGAGGTTTAACGTTGCGTTCAAGAATATTGCACTTATATGAAATGACGTGCATGCACGCGTGTGTGTATATGTATGTGTGTCTGCTCATGTCGTTTTTACAGAACAAGCCACTGATACACCATACCGACGTTTTAACATGACTACCCCACTCTGACACAGTATACTGACCACAAATTGACCAGTCTTATCCCCTTAATGCTGAGCGCCAGGCGGGGTAACAAGACCACCACAATTAAACGTTACTGGGCAGATACTCTCTCCCTTTACGCAGATGCTTATCGAAGTTCAGGCGTGGTATACATACCCTCAATACACAATTATACAGACACTCCAAGGATAATGATGTTTTAACATCGATGTGTCCTTTCTGCAAATATAACCAAGAAAATGAATACCATGTTTTATTGATATGTCCAGTATATGAGGATATAAGGATCAAATACCTGCCTAACTACGTATCCATCACAAACATCATTTGTACAGTTAATGAACAGCAAAAATAGCCACTTTCTTCTCAGACTTGCAGTTTGTGTTTAAAAGATATTTGAAAGAAGGATAATACATTGAATATTAATAAAACTGTGTACACCATATTTAGCTACGATCTAATCAGTATACAAGTGGTGCTTCACGACGAATTGTTTTACAACAAAAGGTCAGTGTCCTATTGGCCTCATGGCCACACATACGAAATAAGTCTGTCTGCAACTCTACCCATACGACAATGGAGGCGGTCTAGCCCACTTTATTTCAGAGCAAGGTATTTACAAATGCAATGGTGTATGATGACAATGTATGATGATCATCACTCATGTAATGTGCTTGCAAAACATGATGCTTATTTATGCCATGTAACCTGGATAACTTCCTTCAATTGTTAGTTTGTTTTGGTTTGGTTTTGCGTATTCTCTTTATTTGAATATAATTAACAAAGACACTTATTTGTCTTTTTTTACAGGGAAAGTGTATATTTAGATCAGGATAGTGAATATAGTTCGTGGTTGGTTCTGATTATGATACACGCTGCACTGGTATGGCTCAGTCTGTTTGACTTCACTGCGGTTGGATAAGCACCTTTTTCTAACTGTATACATATTCAGATATATACTCATAAAGGAACAATCGGACCAATTGCCTCGAACTCCTGGGGACCAAAGAAATAGTTCGACTTCTCCGAAATATTTAAATTCGACCTGGATCTTGATTAGTTCTACCTTTTAACTTTGGGGACTATAAATTGAACTCAAAACACCCATGTCGAGCATTCAAGTAACAATAATAGAAAACGGTTCAAACTATATTGCTAAATCAGTAAATCAGCACAAAATACAAATGAATAAAAAACAACTTCTATTGTAAAACATAATTGTAGGTCTACAGTCACAAAGGGGTTATACAATGGGTCAACTATTGGCAATACATAACAGGCCATTTAACTAACGCATCACTAACAAGAGTAATATGATAATACAAGTATATTAATTACACCATGAATATTAGTAGAATAGTGCTTCCAACATCATTCGCTCCTTAGATACGTTTTCAGATACACAGTTTGTAATAAAAGCGATATCTTACGGGGATTCGTTCAGTGATCTATCACATACTTTTTTCACATTAGAATATGTCAGATATCATGGAAGAATGTAATACTGGTTGGTTTTCCCAATGGCTATATAGTCTGTATTTGTTCAAGGGACACAGCTCAAAGAATTCTATTTCATCTTAGCATTTTCATGTTTGCCAAGACATTATGGAAATCAATTGGATAAATTGCTTTGAAATAAAACAATCATCATATTCCTGAATATGAGGAACATACTTTAAAGTCTATATGGCATGTTCAACGGGTTACATGGCTTCGGGAGTGAGACTTCACAAGTCTGAATCTGGAAATGGTGCAGAAACAAATCAAAGTGACAATACTGACTATGATAGAAAGACACCCACGTGTTCCTGCAAGTACATATTTTACACAGTGACATGTAGCTGCAAACATTCATTGTGTACGTCAATCTGAACTCACTCCCACTAATTTCAACAAAACACTTTGCTTCAAGAAAGTTCGTAACACACTGAAATCTGCACATGTCCAGTTATAAACATTTGTAAGAAACTGTTATGTAATTTTCTAAACATTAAAGTTAGACATGAACCTAGAATTTGTAACGTACAATGGTTTTTTATGGAATCGAAATGCATACAGAAACGTCAAAACTACATCGACACAAATCACTCCCACTACTTTCAACATAAAACGGGGGTACGGGTGTCCCAGTCGCCTAAGGCGCCGCGATTCGCCGTGCAGAGTTGCGTACCTTGGGCACGCCAGAGACCTATGATTGTGGATTCGAATCCAGGTTCGCCTAGATTATGTTCCTAGGTTTGTCAGCACCATACCCGTGCTCTTTGGTTTCACTGAAGTGGTAAACGCCTGACACCGCCATCACTTCGGGCTTTCCTCCCACATTAAGCTGACACGCCGTGATATTACTGGAATACTGTTAAAAGCAGCGTTAAATCCAACTCACACACTCATCAATTCAACTTAAAACAATACAGGAAAGTTCGGTACACACTGAAATGAGCATATGTCCAGTTAGGAACATTTGAAAGACTCTATTATGTAATCCTCTAAGCAACATAAAGGATTTTTTCGTCATGAAGTTACCTTAGCCCTAGCATTTGTAGAGTAAAATGTTTTTTTTATGGAATTGATATGCTTACCGAAACATCAATGCTACATCGACACAAATGACAAATAACTCGTTATTTTCTGCAAACCAAATTCGGACGACTGACTCCGAATGGAGGTTGTAAAACTGTTTATGTAAACTGTAACACTGGACACCATAATAACAATGATAACTCCTTTCTAGACCACTTTTAGAGCTGCAGCAGCTCTATCTTTTCCCCAGACTCAGTGTAGTGAATGATGGTATTCTCAGAATTACTAGTGTTATCTGAACTAGGCACTGTGTCACCAACTACTAGAGCATGGACATATGTGTGAACATGACTTGAGATTCCATATATGGTTTCTGATCGTTGATTGGGTGAACATATCTCCAAGCGTGCAGGATCTGTAAGGAGGTCGTTAAGATTTCCGTCTATATGATATGGTTGGGATGACTGCAAGGCGATGTATCTCTCTTCCATAACTCTTTGTCTGTCTGTGGAAACTGCCTGTCCCAGGTGGCCCGGAACATACACCCCTGGCAATTCTACTGATGTCTGGTTCACGGGGCACGTTGATGTTAGTGGTGTGGATGTAAGCCAACCGCCATTGTTATAGCTTCCGTGTGGAATTGACGATGATTTCATAAGAAACTGGCCATCGGTTGTCACCCTGAAACAATATCACATGCACTTGACACGGTAATTCAGAGAAAATAGGACTTAATCAAAATAATGATGCTATTGTGACATATAATACAAAATCAAGATGTAAAAGCTCCCAGCGAAATCATTCAATAGTATACACAGTGAAGCCTAATTAAGTTCAAATATTGGTAAACATAATTTCATCGTTTTTGCAAAGTCCCCATTGACATATGTAGCCCATGGAAAATAAGGTTTCACTTGGAACAAATAGCAATAAAGTTCATCTCACCACAATGCATGTCTACAAGGTCCCCAAAACAACATACTTAAAGTCCCAAGCAATCCCAGTTTGGGAAATATGTCTAATTTACATAATCCAATATGGCAACCAACTGTCAATAGTATTTTCCACATTTCAGATGAGGTTCAGTGTTTTCATGAAAAACAGCATGTGTTCTGTTGCAAAATAGTCATATTATGGTTTTAAAATGATATTCACAACTATTGATCGTTTTCGACTATTGACAAATCTATAAAACATCAAGATGGCCGGCAATTTCAAGATGGCCGACACATTTCCTAAATATGAGTTTAGACTGTTGAAGCTTTTATATCTGAAACAGTGTGCTTGGACGTATGTGCATAAAACTTGTCACACTAACTGACTGGCCCAAAATTCCAAGATGACCTCCAAGACATGGACAGACATTCAATATCAATACACTGTTGGTCTCTCATGACATATTTGATTGATTGATTTGGGACTTTTAGTATGTTGTTTGGGGGGCCTTGTAGAAATGCTCTGTCTATATTCTTAGATAAATGATAGATATTTTGTAAATGTCTGATGGTACTGTCCTCTTCGAGGTCTCATATGGTTTCGTGGGGTTTCAAAACTGTTCTGCAAAACAGCGTATACAATATATGTGCTATGGTTGTCAACTAAAGCATCATTTCCACATTGCTCTTACCTATCTATAATTGTACCATGGTTGCTTGTCAGGTCATGTATATTTGTTGCCTCAGTTATAATCCTTGCAATATCATCGTGATGTTGTGCCTCTGCTTTTTGTAAAGCAGTTTCTTCTTTATCGTCTTTCTCATCCACATTTGCCTTGTTCTGTAATAACACCTCCACAACCTCCCTGTGTCCTTGCAAGGTTGCATCATGTAGAGGTGTGCAGCCTTCCTTATCTTTCTCATCCACATTTGCCTTGTTCTGTAATAACACCTCCACAACCTCCCTATGTCCCTGCCAGGCTGCATCATGTAGAGGTGTGCGGCCTTCCTTATCTTTCTCATCCACAATTGCCTTGTTCTGTAATAACACCTCCACAACCTCCCTGTGTCCCTGGGAGGCTGCATGATGTAGAGGTGTGCGGCCTTCCTTATCTTTCTCATCCATATTTGCCTTGTTCTGTAATAACACCTCCACAACCTCCCTATGTCCTTGCCAGGCTGCATCATGTAGAGGTGTGCGGCCTTCCTTATCTTTTTCATCCACATTTGCCTTGTTTTGTAATAACACCTCCACAACCTCCCTATGTCCCTGGTCGGCTGCAAGATGTAGAGGTGTGCTGCCGCCTTGATGTTTCTCATCCACCTTTGCCTTGTTCTGTAATAACATCTCCACAAGCTCCCTATGTCCATGGTAGGCTGCAAGATGTAGAGGTGTGTTGCCATCATTACGTTGTTCATCCACATTTGTCCTGTTCTGTAATAACACCTCCACAACCTCCCTATGACCGTGGTAGGCTGCAAGATGTAGAGATGTGTTGCCATCATTACTTTTTTCATCCACATTTGTCCTGTTCTGTAATAACACCTCCACAACCTCCCTATGTCCCTGCCAGGCTGCAAGATGTAGAGGTGTGTTGCCATCATTACGTTTTTCATCCACATTGGCCTTGTTCTGTAATAACACCTCAACAACCTCCCTCTGTCCATGGTAGGCTGCATCATGTAGAGGTGTGCTGCCATCATTACGTTTCTCATCCTTATTTGCCTTGTTCTGTAATAACACCTCCACAACCTTCCTATGTCCCTGGGAGGCTGCACGATGTAGAGGTGTGCGGCCTTTCTTATCTTTCTCATCCACATTTGTCTTGTTCTGTAATATAACCTCCACAACCTCCCTATGTCCCTGGTAGGCAGCGTCATGTAGAGGTGTGCCGCCATCATTCTGTTTCCCATTAACATTTGCCTTGTTCTGTAATAACACCTCCACAACCTCCCTGTGTCCCTGCCAGGCTGCACGATGTAGAGGTGTGCCGCCATCATTACGTTTCTCATCCACATTTGCCTTGTTCTGTAATAACACCTCCACAACCTCCCTATGTCCCTGGTAGGCTGCATTATGTAGAGGTGTGCCGCCATCATTCTGTTTCTCATTCACATTTGCCTTGTACTGTAATAACACCTCCACAACCTCCCTGTGTCTCTGCCAGGCTGCACGATGTAGAGGTGTGCCGTTATCATCACGTTTCTCATCCACATTTGCCTTGTTCTGTAATAACACCTCAACAACCTCCCTATGTCCCTGGGAGGCTGCATCATGTAGAGGTGTGTTGCCATCATTACGTTTCTCATTCACATTGGCCTTGTTCTGTAATAACACCTCCACAACCTCCCTATGTCCCTGCCAGGATGCAAGATGTAGAGGTGTGCAGCCATCATTATCTTTCAATTGAATTATTCCCTTGTTCTGTAATAACATTGTAACAACTTCTCTATTCCCATATATACATGCCAAATGAAGCCCAGTTTCACCCTTCTTGTTTTGCTTACCAATTTCCACTAGTTCCTTTAACAGATAGCTTACAATGCTAACATTTCCAACTGCACATGCGTAATGTAAAGGTGTTGATCCTTCAGGGCCTGTTATATTGACATTCAGTTTTCCCATTTTCGTAATTGTATCCATGGTATCTTTGCCCTTTAGGCACAAGGATGCAAAATGTACATATGTATTCTTTCTTGACTTGTTTTTCTTCTTGCTCGTCTTCATCAAATGTAACAGTCTGGAAGCCACTGCAGACAACCCACCCATACAGGCAATGTCCAAAAGTGAACATTTACCAAACTTTACTCCCAGATCATCTACAACTGCCAACTGCAGTTTAATGATAAGAGGTCTTGGGAGTTTGGGTAGTGTCATCCACAACTTATCCAACTTCCAGTTTTTATTGGAAAACAGGTAATCGAAGTTGGCTAAACTATTCCCAAAGCAACTTCCAAACAAAGCTTCCTTTCTGTTCTCTGCATTCAATTGAACACTGAACAATGCTCTCCTCAACAAATGTGAGTTGTCTGTGATGCTCGCCCAAAACAGAAAGGAATATCCATGTACAATGTCATTATTTGACAATACTTTCAACAGTACACAACTGTCCTTGTTCATATTATGCAACAATTTCTCCCAAACCATATCAACAAATGTCTCTACCTTGAATAGGGAATGCATGCACACAAAGGCAAACTTTCTGCCGTGTAAAGCTGTAGCAAACCGCTTCGCTACAATATGCAGATCATCATGTTTCAATTCGAGGTTGAAAGACACATTTACTTGTTCCTCTTCAGTTGGATCATCTCTAAATGTCACATAACGAAATATGAACTCGATATCCATCCTTTCAACCAACTGCCTAACATCACGTAGCAGTATTTCTCTTAGCTTTATTGCTACTTTATGATTTCTTATTCGATATGAGCCTGCTTTATGATGGAGACAGCATCCCGTTAATTGGGATAAAATAGGTTTCATCACATTTTCAGTGTATTCTTCTTCATTGATGTCAAAAGCCTTAAGTGCCCAAACAATATATTTTTTGTAGGTTTCTCTTTCCACGCGAGTCCCTGTGTCAGACCCTGCCCATAGCATCCTCTCCTCCAGGTTATTCTCCGCCAAAGCAACCACTAACAAGCACGCCATCTCCTGCTTATGCAACAGGTGCTGATCCAAACATGGATAGTCCTCTGTATCTGTGAAAACAAATAGCGTTTGTTAGAAAGCAGTGTACAACATTGAACATGTAGATCTAAAATATAATACCTTGCGTAACGACTTACAATTACGTAACATAGTAATGATCTCCAGAATGCATACTTTCATCACTGGCCATAGCACAGTCGGGTCCTTCATGTGTTTCATGTCCATCCTCTTCATGAATAGTTGGACCTCCTTGTTCTGTTGTCATTGTACAGCTATTTTCCAGTACATCTCTTGTCTCCAGCGTTACAGTTTGAATTTCGTTTGTGACATTACCCTGTCCATCAACTGCCATCATGTGATTTCCTCCACCTTGCATATCTCCCTTGTCCTTGGCATACTGTAGTATCCTCTGAAGCACATACAGCCTGTTTTTCTCAACGTGACAGTTCCTCATGATGCCTGGAGACCTCTCCGACAAAATTGCATCAGCAGCCTGAGAATATGAAGGTTAGAAATGAAAAGGTATCTTTCATACGTGGTTATTGAGACACATGTTGCCTTTCATATCAAAAACATAGCTTCAAACCAACCTACCATCAGAACGAATATCCCACAGCTGTGTCCATCAGACTGTTCTATCACTGGGTACTGTTTCTTCATCCATGACTTGCTCCCTTCTTTAGACGTAGATTTCAAGTGGTTTACAAAGAGCCTGAGGAATACATGTATATTACTCGATGGCAATAAAGTCTTCAACTCATGTGGACTGGTGTTAAAGTAATGGTAGAACAGAAGGTAAATACAGCAGTGCCTAAAATATCCAGTCCTGGCATTTCTGATGTTCTCTCCTGCTTTGTCCATAATTAGGTTTTATGTTAGCAAATACAGATGTTATGGTTTAAATGAATGAGTGACATAACTGTATTTATGGCGTTTAAATCATTCCCACAGTGTACCCATTTGGGTAACCCTGTGAACAAGTTGTTCTATATCTTCTACCCAAAAGTAAAAGCTACAAATGTGGGTGTATCGAACATTTTTCGATGGATCTTATTTACATTCATGTTTGTTTTTGAGAAATCAACATTTCAACATTTCAAATTGGATAGCTTGGTTTTAACATTTATAATGTGCAGCCACACGTCCTCTTTTCTTTTTTTTATCTACCTCTAGTGTTGTACAAATGGGTGTTCTACACATAAGGCTGGTTTAGAATTGACCACGCCCACTGTTCTGTCCACCTACCTCCAGTGTTGTACAACCTTGTCCTCCACATCTAAGGAGGGTTTAGAATTAACCACGCCCACTGTTCCATCCTTGACATTAGCCACCAGTAGCACCCAATGTTGATTACGTGGCATGTTTACTGGCATTAAGATCCACGTGTAGTTTGTCAAATTTTCCTGAAAGTTCACAACAAATGCCTTTCCGGTGTACGATCAATATATCAAGAAACACGTGCTTCACATAAGATGGATATGATGCAGTAACAGAGATATTAGTGAATTGGTATCATGAACTTGGAACTTAGAACTTCTAAAGACCCCTCTCTGACAACCAGATTTTCACTTCGTAAAATAATATGTAGCAAGACGAATATGTTCATGTGCAATATCTGCTTTTGAAACTGCATATTGAAAACGAATAGCATTATGATCAATGGGGTTACTGGCTTTGACTCAATTGAAACCCATTGCAGCATATGGTCGCTTCGTGCGCACAATTGCAAGTGACAACTTCTAGCATACTGAATACGCAATCATGGCATAGACAAATCATATGTTATCACAAAAAATATACAATTACTGCAAAATATCTTTCGAGTCTTGCCCATGTTCATGGTAGGGTGGACATGCAATGGTACACTCGGAATGAAAGAATTATAAGAAATATAAAAATCTCACGTCACTCACATCTTTCCCCCTTATTCTGTCTGTGTACTGTCCTGCCTCCCACAGTAGGATTGTCTCTGTAGGCAGCACCAGACAGTGGAAGCTGACACGGGAACACCACTCTCCCTCCAGGAGGTGCAGGTATGTGTCCATGATCTGGACAGGAAAGAGTTCATTTATTCGAATGTTTATTATACTGTTTAATCGCCCAATGCGTTTGCTTCAAAAGGAACGCTTGTAATTTCAAATCAAAGCAGGATCCGCTGCACATCACATATTCATCATGAAGAGAATATATCGGCTGATAGCAATGACTGACAATTTGACTGGTGATGTACTAGATTTTGTGAACAATCCCCATTGCAGGTGAGTAGTGCCATCATTGCAGAATCGAGATGCATGGCAATGAGTTGATAATTAGCACCATTATATGAATTGATAGTTAACTAATACTGGTGTAAAAAGAAGAAACCGCCAAAAGTTGCTGTATTAATCTTAAGATGGGGTATCAGTGGTCCAAGGCGCCGCATTTCGATATGCAGATTCACCATGGGAATCAACAAAGTGGTTAACGTCAAAGATGTGCATTACTTTCTTCATAATTTAATCCAACGCACCATGACACTACTGTCAAAAAGAGGCGTTTAACCAAACTCAAGCTCTAGCTCGCCTACCTCAAGGCACTATCAATGAGTATTAGGTGACTGAACCACTCACCACCCTCACGCCCCCAGTTTATATCTAATACTAACATCATTTGATGAAATCGAAAGCCTCCCATGCTCTATGAAATGATTTTCTTGGATGGTTAACTAGGCATGTAGTTTTTTGTGATTGTGTAAATATTGCAGGTGGACTACTTACTTCATCTGTCAGCCACTCGTTGGTTTCCAGGCGAGACAGAACATCTCCTCTGATGGTGTAGCAGCCAACTGTGTATGTACAGCCACGTGACAGGGGGACGTCCTCTTGTACATGCTGCAGGTGTGAAGGAGGATCCTTCAGTGTTTTCACAAAGTCCTGTACTTCAGTCCTGGTATGGCATGCTCCAACAAGTACTGCTGCGATGAGGTTTATGTAAACTGACTGGTCTTGGTTCAAGCTCAGCACGTCAGTATTTACAGAACATTTAACCCAGTTCCTTGCTTTAATTGCATCTAGATTCCAGTTCTTGTCGACCTCTTCAATGAGTGACAAGCACGGATTGCCTTTGTTGGTACAGTCCTTGTTCCAGAACCTAGAAAATGCTAGGACTTGTCGCAGGACCCTTATCACATCCCGATTCCTTTCTACATCTTCTAGAAATGTGTACAGATAAGCATAGTGTGTGTTTGTGACACAGGTTACAATTGTGTTGTCATTTTCAAGTTGAGGCTGCCAACGGGGTTTCTTGACAGGGGAGCCTGACGTTGTACCCAAATATTCAATGTCATCATCACCTCTATGATCACCTGTCCTGCAGCGTTTTTGATTTGTGTCGTGATCATTCTTTGTTTCAGTCTCTGACACCTTTGCTTCATTCAATGTTACACCTAGAATAGTGTTTGATGTACCGTTGTCTTCCAATTCTGTCGGTGATGAATGATCTTCAGGGTCCAGGTTGGAGTTAGTGTTCTCCGTGACACCTGACTGCACAGCTCCACCAGTTGATTCTACTTTCCTACATTTACTGTCACCTGGGGAATGAAGTGTCTGTTGACCACGCTTCTTTCGTTGAGGAGCAGGCTGTGCTTGTGTGTGGTCCCCGATATATTGCACTAGAACGTGTTTCAGAGGCTGGTTGTACAGATACGAAGCTTCTCTGACAAAGGCCCTTGTTGTCGTCTTGTCCTCGGTGTAAGCCTTGTGGTACTGCTTCACTATGACTGGACTTGAGCCAGGCTGCTTCCGGGTTCCATCACTTCGGAAGTGATATTTGTCATCCTTCCAGATATCTGCAAATATAAATTAACATCATAACACTGCAAACAATGTTGTAATCCTGAAGATGAACTATCCCTCAAAAAGCTGTATGTGTTAGTGTGTCACCTGTGATGTTGATTAATTAATAAAACTGTGAACAGTCAATAGTGTAACATAACTCTAAAATCAACCCACCTTAATGCCAAATCAGCTGTTAGGTCATGCATAAACATATTGTATCAGAGGTTGTGATGATAAATACCATGTCCTTTTTTCCTTCCCTGAGATGCAACACGATACTTGATTCTTGTTTAGCCCATATTGATTAATCCAACAATGGATTTTCTACAAGTTGACATCAAACAATGTTCATTATTTAAGTACACAATTGTTGTAAAGGGGATGGAAAGAGTGAAAAGAAAAACATAAATAGAACATGTTGCGAAAGAAGTCGTTTTGATAATGATACAGACACATAAACATAATTATTGTAGTCACTCATTGCACGACAATCACTTGTCAACAATATTAGCGAACATAAAACCGGTTATCACAGGGCTGTACAAGGAAGCTGATACCAGGGCAGGGTGACCCCGACGTCATGCAGACTATTACTAATAACGTACATGTATATGAATGTGGCTTTGAGGACATTGATCATGTGTGCTTAACAACCCCAATGAATTCAAATTGTGTAATAAATAATATCAGCTTTCCATGAAATATTAACATTCTTCATATGTATTAATCCCTGACTCATGGTAATATTAAGCCTGAACACAACTGCCTCACCTTCTCTCATTCCCGAGGTAATCTTATAGAGGTACACCTCCCCTCCCTGGGGTGTGGCGGGGGCAGTCTGGATGGTCTTGCTCTCATCTGGACTCCTCAGAATGTTAACAATTTCCTCCACTTTAAGGGCTGAGGTTCTCCCTGTCAGGTAAGGCTCGGGTGGTTTCGGATTAGGCGCCATTTTGTAAAGTTATTAATAGTCACATGAGTCACACAGGCGTGATAAATAATCGGTTGTTCACTTGAACCTGTAGATGACAAAAGGTTATATGCTGAACTACACCCAAGCATGAATATTCATTATGTACCCTGTATTTGTCTACGTATCAGTGTTGGTCTTGTTATAACGCCTCAGGGCTTCATAAACGTCTCTCCTTGTACCCCAGGGGACTTCCTGTTATTGGTTTGTTTTTCTGTGTGTGGCTTGCGGGGAAAAATAAAGCGAGTCTGCCCAGAGAGCGGAAAATAGGTGGTTCGAACCCCGGCCGCGTTTTACCAAACGACGTTAAATGATGATATTTGTTATTACCCTGCATTATTTCTGCAGTACACTGTGTGACCATATTTCAAGATGAGCATTGTACATGTGCGAGTTACAATCCAAAAAAGCGTCAGTCTTCGTGATCAGGTGAATCCACCTTATATACATACTTTATTGTGGTTTCAAATCAAGTCTTGATCAAAATATAACAAAATATTACAAATTACAATATTGTTGTCTAGCGACATGTGTAAATAAATGTTACTGAGTTAGAAACCTTTATTGCCTGGTTCAACCTATGCTCACTGAGAGAATGAGTGAGAGAGAATGGTTTTACGCCGCTTTTAGACATATTCCAGCAATATCACGGCGGGGGACACCAGAAATGCGCTTCACACATTGTTCCCATGTCAGGAATCGAACCCGGGTCTTCGGCGTGACGAGCGAACGCTTTTACCACTAGGCAACCCGACCGCCCCCTGACAAAATCCACGTCATCGAGGATGTGTTTTTACAATTTTCATAATCACCTGTACCCCAACTTACACAGATATTCATACTTTATAATAATGTCTACCTCCACTGAAGTATCCCAGCATTGTCCTTGTTCTAATGTTAAAATTTGGTTGATCTGAGTTGGCTTACTTGAAAAACATTGTATCAACATTGTTTCAGCTCCGTTCTATATTGAAATTGTTTCAATCTGACTTTCATAAATGAAAAGTAAACACCTGGCCATGGTGTCATCATTGATTTTCAGTGGTACATTCATACATAAAATTATTTATTATTGTGCATTGACAACTATATATTGTGGAACGGAACCCTACCTTTAATCTTAACCTCAATCGGTGTCACTGTCATAGTGTACGAAAACCACTTGAGTGTGACATCATAACTCCAACGAACCTTTTGCCAGTCACTGCTACAATGTATATACGCCGGTATGTGCATCCATCTAGCTACATATATTTGTAGCCCTGCAAGGTTGACGTTTGTCGGATGTTCGGACGTAGATCGATTCAAAGGGACATGTGCAGTTCGTGATCAGGTGTTACGTATTAGTTCATCAAGGAACGGCTGTAAGCCAAATCCTCACCTGCACCGGAGTCATGTGAGATACGAAAACGCTCTCCCAACTTATGATGACTATTAGGTATGCGGAAGCCATCAACTCCTAAATTAATTGTTGGGTTGCAGATACAAACATCTGGAACAGACAGACAGACAATGTCCTTTCCTCTATAGCCTAGGCGGGGCGGTCGGGTAGCCTAGTGGTTAAAGCGTTCGCTCGTCACGCCGAAGACCTGGGTTCGAATCCCGACATGGGTACAATGTGTGAAGCCCATTTCTGGTGTCTACCGCCGTGATATTGCTGGAATATTGCTAAAAGCGGCGTAAAACCATACTCACTCACTCACTCACTCACTATAGCCTAGGCTGTTATATGCCTTTAATAGAGCTTTGACTGCTCCAAATTAACTATCGCTTGTTGAGTATGTTTGCATTGAAAAAAACACCTCATTTATTCTGTATTAGAATGGTATTTTAATGCGTACGGGGGTGTTTTTCCTCGTTATCTTATATGAAACACTTGCATCATCAATTTATTCCTGATTTCAAATACAAACTTTTGACAAAATTTGCCATAGCCTTCATACAATGTAATCCCAACTAAACTCCCTTTACATGTAGGGCGATAACACAGCAAGACACCATACACTGGGCTCGTATATATCTATTACACAGCGCTAGGCTGGCTAGACTGCCAGGTCACATCACCACAATCTCTGATGACTCTTACATCATTTGAGGCCTACATTCTGTGTAGTGGAAACTCGAGTTTGACACTATGTGTACACTATTGGTTCGATCGTATTAGTTGTGCGACAGGGAAAATCCCTATTTATAGACAGGCGGACGATATCTCTCCTGGCGAAGTCAAGTGTGTAGTGAATGAATATGTCAATTCCTGACACACGATTTTTCGGGGGATAAAGAACGTGTGCTGAGAACAACAGGCAAATGTTTTCATGAGTTGATGAAAGCAACACGCTCAAAGTAAACAAATAGATCATTTAATAAAACAGATATATTATTAATTATAGAAATTAAGTGCCAATATCATTACATATCCGGATGCCCCTTTACCTACACGTACACTCTATAACCGCTTGGCTACCCACCGCCCCAGTATCAATGCACACGATGTGCATACTGATGATTCAATTCAAACCAACCAGTCGTTTAATGCACCTGGACTAGAAAGCAGGCCCAGTGAATGAAACACTTATTTACACCGTCATTGCTATTTAACCCCCACACACCCCAAGATTGAAATGGTTTATGAAATCCGAAAACCTGCGGTCCGAGAGCTGGAACAAGATTGTCACCTGTGCCTCACAGGTCCTACAACAATTCCCGTACAGCAAGCAGGGGGAATCCCCTTTCCCTATTCATATGTGTTTAATGTAGTTGTGTTAAGTTGTCATATTGTCGCGGCGACTGAGGGATACACATGTATGTTTCATTTTCTCACTAGACGTCGTAGATACAGGCAGCATGGGTAATATTGTTTCATACTGGTCAAGATTCAGATATCAGGTAATATTCCCTTCACGTATTTTCTTAACAATTAATGAATATGTACACGTGCAATTGCGACTTTATGTTTATTTATGCATACTAGTGAATGTAACATTACCCTACTTCTTGTGACGCTACAGTTCTCAATCGTGGTTTAAAACTGGATTAAAGTTTACAATATGCGGGATCCAAGCGTCACCAGGAATATGCCTCATTGTGTTCATTTTGATTCCAGAAAATGTTCAAGACAGACGACCACATGACCTGCTATTATAACCATCAGCTCGAACTGAGAGGTACGTTCAGTCGCATTTATCCATTTACTAAATGTAAGATATGGATTGTGTGTCACGTTATGCTTTATCAAATGCAAGCTTGACATTATTCCCATTGTCTGTGCATCCACCCAAATGTTTTCTTTACACGTTGTGGTACATTAACAATATGTTTTTCTCTTTGGTTTTTGAGTGAATTTAATCTTAAGATCAGTTAAAATAATGTAGAATATTGATAGGGAATTTAAAAATTGACAATAAATATACAACACACATACACACACACACACACACACACACACACACACACACACACACACACACACACACACACACACACACACACACACAAACACACAAACACACACACAAACACACACACAAACACACATACACACACAAACACACACACAAATACACAAACACACATACACACACACACACACACACACACACACACACACACACACATGCATTCATGCACACACACATACACATGTGGAGAACATGCTTATTGTGAGATGATTCTTGTAGGTACAACACCCTGGAACCAAGCATATGCTGTGAATGAAGAGAGGCTGAATATCCCTGTATCTGAAAGAGATCTCAGCCTTGTTGCAAGTCACATTGGGATAGGGTTTGAGTGTGTCGGCATCGAACTTGGACTTACTCTCGTGGTTATCGAACAAGTCACGTTTGCACATCCATGTTCACTGTACATGCAGGTTGTACACATGCTTACGAAGTGGAAGGAGAAGAATGGAAGATCTGCCACCAGCCTGGTCCTCGTCAGAGCATTGTGGAGATGCAACGAGAAATGTACGATTGAGCGGGAAGACATTCTAAACATTCTTCAGGGATCGTCCACTGTGTCAGGTTAATAAAGTGCTGCTCTGTACACCCTTCTCAAGTACAGTTATCACTGATTTATTGATTGGGAGGATATTCTCAACACCCTTCGGGGACTAACATCTATTTCTGCGTAGCCATGCACCTGCATGTACGAATCACATTTAGAGGAAACATCCGCTTTGAAATATCGAGTCGCAATACTAAATTCACTGAGGTTTCTGTGCACAATTTGGGATCATGACTGAACTGAATGATTTTTGCTTCCTCGTGCAAGTTGCGCACTGAACACTCATCATATGTACAGTTATCATTAATTTGCCGTATATAATACATTGTGATTGTATTTGTATGTTAATAAACTGCTATGATGTCCTTTGTAAGAACTGGTCATTCTGCCTCTTGTGATATTCGCGGAACAGTGACCGAGGGATAACAAGCTGTGCTCTAAACGTCATCCGTGGTCCGAAAATCCGGAAACATAATTGCCTCTCACATAACAAATGTCCCGACTGTATTAAGGATTGAAAATTCTAAATATTTTTAGAATGTAATTTCAAGGGTACTGTCTATCTGTTTATTCTGATTTTGAACATTATTATAAGGTTTGCCGGTTGTAGAATCGTTTTTGAATCATTAAGGACGCCATTTGTTTCTGACTTTATATATTAGCTCTATTCTACTTGTAAGGTCATGAGCTATATTAGTTTTCAGGAATGATGACAGGTTATGACAGGTCACCTTGTACTGCAACTGGGGTGTGATCACATCTATAGAGAGATGCGCATCATCAATGCAGCATGGGCTGAGATATATATAGACATAAACATTTTCCTTAAAACATGCTTCCTATGTATATGAACCAGTACCCCATAGTAATGTCTAAACAACGCCGAAATATAGCCTGGTAAATAACAATATGCAAAATTTTCTATTGATCTTATGGCTTAATAAACAATAAATATTTTTTTAGATATATGAACAATTATTGATTATGCATATGTTTGCTGGTGCTTGTTTA